TACAAACAGTTGGGTGCCGCTGAATTATGTCAGGGAATTGGTTGCAATGAAAACACTCAAAATGAAGCATCTCCCAGTTCCAGCAACCTGGAAACAGACCTGTCAGTAAGGTGGATAGTCAAGGTTCCCTCGGGCGTTACATCTCGCTTTTAATGATGCCATGTGAGCCCATGGCCCTGTTTGTCTCTGTAATTAGAGCTGATACATATCTTCAAGTGGATATTTTGGCAGACTTTAGAAGTATGAACCTATTATTACTAGAGTTATGTGGTGCTGATTTTAAATGTGAAAAACACAGCTAAAGCCTTGCTCATCTCGAAAAGCAAGTGCAGCAAAAATGAATCCCGTGGGACTGTTGTGCGATGCCTGGCCAGCAGACGAGAGTGGCTGACTTGTTCTAATGTTTCAACTGCATCTGTTTTGATCACTTGGGAAGGTTTTCAGTGATTCAAACACTGCCACAGAGGGGAAAAATGGGACTTGGAGTCAGAAGTATCGGGTTGAGATGCCAAGCGTGCCCCTTAATGGCTGTGGTGGTTAGATAATGTTTGAGAAACATTCTCTCCTTCCCTTCCCACCACATTCAGGGGAGAGTTGTATTTCCCTGCCCTGTTGATTTTGGGCTCGGCCCTGTAACTTGTTTTGGCCAGTGGAACTTTGGCAGACATGATGCAATGAAGACTCAACATGTGCATGTGCAGTTGGAAATGGTTCTTGCCCCTCTGCCCTGGCTAGTGCCCTGGTCTGGGGAGGAAGGGAGACATGGGACCAGGCCCAGGCTCATTAGAGCCCACCCGGCCAAACCCAGGCAGGATCGGCGACCCCAGCTGACATACAGACACGTAAGAGAATTTTTCAATGACTCCTGTTTCAGGGCAGTTTGTAATGCCGCAGTGCCTGGGTGACATATGGGCAGAGAGCCTGGGTTTCAGCTAACGTGGGATGAGAATAGCAGTACTACAGTGCCATCTGAATAACGTCAGGCTATTATCACTTTACCTGTTGAAGAACAAATGGAGTGTCTGAATCCTGCCTTGGGGAGAGTTTAGCTGAGCTCCCACCAAAGAACTGCATTTTCAAGAATTCCTTTCCCTGTTCGTTATGGGTCAGCTTTAACCACCAGAGAAATTTTGTGCACAATTTGGAAGGCAAAAGCAAAGCAGCAGACATAACTTCTACGCTCTGACGGTTGGAGCGGGGCACCAGGAACAGTGGGTGCTTATGTATGCTGTTGCCGATCAGCTGGCTTGCCTGGTTCTTGGCCAAGTACCTGCTCAGCCCCACAGGGAAGGGCACCATCTTCACCTCCGTCAAAAAGGTTGGAGGTGGTGAAGACATAGGTTCATTTTTTATTTTCTCTTGTTCATACCAAGCTTTCTTTTCCAACTACCAGTTCAGCTGATCTGTAGCTACTTTAGGCTCAACATCAGATGCAGAGGCAAGGGCCTTGTCTTAACGCTGCCACTCACTGTCACAGCCGTATACAGTCTAATCCCTAAACCAAACCGTTCTCTACCACTTAGGGTTCTTCTTCTGCAGATGGGGCTCTGACGCGCATGGCTGAGTCCATTGTTGTCTTCACCTTCAAGTTCAGGCGAGTTCCCAGACCATAATCTTGAGGCGTTTCTGATGGAGCAAGAACTATGCGTGATTAAATTATTGTTCATTGAGCCCTTACTGTGTGCAAACACTCTTCTGTTTTACATGTGTTATCTCACCCAATCTCACTAAACGGTCCAACTCCCCCTCCAGACTGGTCCACTCTTCTCATCATTACCAATTGGCAGGTAATGGGATTGCTGCCAGCTACAGTAATGGTCCCAGTCTTCCATTTGGAACTGTAGACTTGGGCCCAGTGCCCTCTGGGGTGACCCTGGGTGGCCCGTACTGCCCTCACATGGAGTCTGAACCACAGAAGGTGCCCGTTAAGGGTTTGTTTACCCTCTTCCCCACCCTCAACCTTGGCATTAATCTTTGACCCTACCCAAGAATTCAGTTCCCCTCTGAGAAGGAGGCTGGGCCCTGTCTTTGCCCAGTGACCGGGCCCTGCTGCCACGGTCGGGTCTCACGCAGGACTGCCTGCCCACCTCGGTCCCGAGTGTTGACCCTCCTGGACCGAAGCAGTCTCACCCACTGGGGTGCCCCAGCTCTTACTAGACGTTCACCCCTAATTGAGAGCCACTTCATACCGACCCTCTTCCCCACCCCATACCCTTCATTTACCATCTAGGAGCCACGGAGCTGCCCTCTTTGGCTGCAGCCCGTGGGCCTCTGCACTGTGCACTGGTAGCCAGGTCGGTTTCCCAGTGTTGGTCCTTATCTCAGGCAGCAGGTGTTCTAAGGTTTGCCAGGTTGTACAAAATTAAATTTGCTGGGGCATCTAACCCAAATCCTGAAGCGGATTTGGTGGATTTTCAGTATCAATAACCTTGGTAGTTTTGTGCTGTATCAACGTGGCCAAGCTGAATGGTGTTTCCCAGCATTGTCTTCCCTACACGGTTCTGGGTTACAGCTGCCTGAAAGAGAGATTAGTGCGGCATTTGGAAGGCAGGAAGGAAGCCAGCAGCAGCTGTGATTCCGAAGATCACCGAGGTTGGAGGTGGTGCCGACGGCTAACTCGTCCTCTCTCTTTCCTGCTGCAAGTCAGCTCTTCCTCCTACCAGCTCTGCTGACCAAGAGCAACCTCCAGCTCATCACCAAGTGCTTGGCTGTGACTTCGGAGGTAACAGCAACACAGAAACGATGACCTTCCCAGACTCCTTCCCCAGCCCCTCCATGGTTTCCACACCAGCGGCTGGATGTGTCTCACGTTCAGATTTCCCCACCAGCTCAAACCTGTCCGCCAGCACCACAGCTGGGGAAAGACTGGTGAGTGACTTTTCTTCCCTAATTTTAGGGGTGACCAATTTTTCTTCTGAAAAATACCAACATGCTTTCCTATTGGTCAAATTTGACCAATATTAATTCAGAATTCTACTAGGAATTGTGTTTTGTTTTGTTTTTTCCTGAGTTCTAGGGCTCTTCTGCAAGTCCATAAAGGTGGAGGTTCTGTTGCCCCTCCCCCATTCTAAGCATTTTGTGACCTGGGAGAGTATTTTTCACTGTGATTTTTTCCATATATCCTTTGCTTTAAACTCTTAACAAAGAAGAGTTTGTAAAATGGTTTCCCAGTCAAATACACAATCAGGAGCAATTTGTTTCGTGGGAAGTAGGGAATGGCAGGCACCCTCTAATGGAGTTAAAGAAATCCTAACTGCTCACACCTGCAGAAGCTGTCGCTTGTGCAGGTGCATTTAGCAGCCAGAGTGTGCTGGAAGTGGGACTGCCTGTTTACGTCGGGGCGCAGCCCACAGGCTGCCCACGCCGGGGCTTTCCCACTGTGCTCATCAGCCCAGCCTGGGGTCTCTGGGCACTTTAGGGCCGGCTGAGCACACACACTGTTCCCCACACAAAACAGGGGTGACCACTTCTTAAAAAATGAGCCTTTTACTTTGCAATTGAGTTTTCTGCTTTTCTCTCCCAGTGGCTCTGTTTTGGCTATACATCAGAATTGCCACGGAAGTTCTTTTGCCCAAGCTGCACCCAGACCAATTAGATCGGACTTTCTGTGACAGCAATAGTTTTAAAGGTTCCAGTGTGCTGCCGAGTTTGGCAGCCAGCTCTAGTGGTGCTGAAACTACGGCCGCCTGAGAATCGTCTGGAGGGCCTGTTGAAAATCACCCGCGGAGACACTCAGTGAGGTGTGTGGGTGTTCAATACTTCACACGTCTCACTCACTCTAAGAGTGCTGCCAATGCTCAAAGCTATGTTGAATTCCTTTTCAAATTAGAATAGTCTTGTTCTGCACAGAAAGCATGCTAATTTTTTTCAAAAGGCTTTATTTATTTTTAGAGGGGAAGAGAGGGAGGGAAACATCAATGTGTGGTTGCCTCTCGCATGCCCTCTTTACTGGGGGCCTGGCCTGAAACCCAGGCATGTGTCCTCACTGGGAATCAAACCAGCAACCTCTGGTTTGCAGGCTGGCCATCAATCCACTGAGCCACACTAGCCACGGCTATGCTAAATTTTTTAGTCATAAATTCATTTAATCATCTGCACAAAGCTCTCATTCTCATCCTTGAAATCAGAACAAGTGCCAACCTGAGGCATCTTCTGTCTACCCTTTCCAAAGGCCCCCGCCACAGTTGCCAACACATTCCTGGGTTTGCTTCCCCTGGGGCCCTAACCACAGTCTGTAATCCTGTTTCTCTCTTGCAGTTGCATGTAAGCTCCATGATGGCAGAAGCCCTGCTTGTCTTCACCTGGTGCCTAGCAGGTAACAGGTGCTCCACAAGAAAGGTTAAGCAACGCGCCCAAGATCAGTGTGGAGGAACCAAGACTCAGACTGACCAGGGCCGGCTTTCAAACCACTGCAAGAATTGGTCGCCAGCCTTCAGTCCTCTCCCAGCAATAAACTGAACCACTCGCCCAGGAGTGGCCCCGCTGCCTGACTGCCACTTGACTCCAAACTATGCATCCCCTTCAAATAACTAAGTCCAGAGCACAGCGCCACGTGGCCAGACTGTAGAAACAGTGGCAATTTCTTTCCTGTTTAAAAACTCTACTGTTCATACCGGAAACCTATTTACAATGCTCCAAAGCAGGTTAAAAATGTCCCCCTCCTATAACATTACACCAAAACCCTTTAATACAGCCCTGGACAGTGTAGCTCAGTGGATTGAGCATGGGCCTGTGAAGCAGGCCCTCTTTAGTTGCCTCTTTAGAAGCAACTCTTTAGTTGCCAGTTCAATCCCATTCAGGGCACATGCCTGGGTTGCGGGCCAGGTCCCCAGTGGGGAACATGTGAGAGGCAGCCACACATTGATGTTTTTCTCCCTCTCTTTCTCCTTCCCGTTCCCAATCTCTAAAAATAAATAAATAAAATATTTTTAAAGCCCCTTTAATACAAAATGCTCATATTTAGTGGGAAAAAACACATGAAAACAAATAAATTTGAATTATCTGACTTTATTGAGCATGCCAATATAATTATTCTGGTAATAAATTAATATATAGTTATAAAAATGTTGAGTGCTTTCTAAGAATTTTTCTGAATGTGTAAAGAATATGCAGAACCATTTATACAGTTGACTATAATTCTCAAACTCAGAAGTGTGGTAACAGCAAGTTACTGAAAAAAGAATGGAGTCTCTCTTATAATTCATGATTTAGTTAGTTTTGAGTTTATGAAGGTTTCAATGACCATTTCAGCTCCAGCAAGCTACAAAGCCTGAACTGACAGTTTACAAATCACCTGATCCAGCCTCCTAAGAGCACAGTTAACACACTGGCCTTGCCAAAGATCACAAAGCTAGTAAAAGACAAGGGCTGAATTACAACTCAGTTGTCAGGAGTGCTCCTGAAATGTCTGCTGAATTAAATAAGGCACATATATCACATCATACAGGACCCTAGCATGACCAAAAGACCCTGGCTTTACTTTCTGCTTAACAGAAATTTAAATTAAATCCTCATGCATTCTTCTGTGGTTAACAATTTTAGTGACTTGACTATTTGGAAACAAAACCATCCCCATGACTGCAGCTAATCACTGATTGCCGTTTATGCTTTTCTCCCCAAATGTTTGGCCCCAGGCCACTTTTCTTCCTGCTCCTCTGTGCTCAGACCTGTATCAAGGGTCTCTATTCTTGTCCAAAATTCATCATTAATGGAGGGAGCTAACATCATCAATATCCACAGAGCCATTAACTTCTGCGCATGGGGCACTTTGGTTCTCTTTGTAGATCATTTCTAACACAGTCAGTGCCTGCTCGGTTCACCTGAACCACAGCTGACCCCGAAGCAGGTGTGGATGGTTTCTGGGGAGCCAGTGTTCCCGACAGCAATGAGATTTCTAATCACATCAAGAATATGCCACAAAATGCTTCACATAATGTACAAGTACTTCCAGCACACATTTTTGGTGGTTTACTTATGCCTCAGCTAATGGCTGCACACAGCCACGCTGCTGACAGCCCCCCTTAAAATAAAAGCCATTCACTGCCTAAAATGTAAATACTCATGCGTGTATGCAGCACGTTTATCAACCAGTAACCGAATGTGCACATGCTGGTAAGGACTTTCCTGTTTAGTTGTAGGAGCCACCACCAAAACAACCTGCCAGATATTGGTGAGTTTTTTTTTAAAAACTTCACACACCCAGCAAAATTGTGTATACAAAGGGAACTTTTGAATTTCCAAGGAAGTGATGCTAATTCCTCGCTGCTCTCAGCCCTGCAGCAAAGGAAAACTGATAGCCTACCTTTACGTAGGTCTCTTTCTCTAGGGCAACACTTCTCTGCAAGAGCGGATGTCTGGTTTGTTTACAACACAGAGGCCTCTTAGATGTGTCCCAGGGGCACATTATTTAGAGCGGACCTCATTTTCAAGTTCTTCCCCAGCAAATACAAGTGTTGTAAAAGCTTTACCTTTGGAGCAATGACTTGATGTTGTGCAAAGGCTAAAAGCTCTGCCGCCACCACGAAGACCTGACATTAACCCCTATGTAGAGTGAAATTCCGTTAGCCGTATCCATAAGGAGCACACAAGAACCCAGACACAGAAGTATTATTTGCTCTGATCTGGCCACAACAGGGAGGCACTTAATTTGCTAAGCTGGCATGCTTTTCTCCTGTCACTGTTACCAATGTCACTTCCTTGGGCTGGGCTTTTTGTCTTGTCCTAATTTTCAAGGAACTTGTGGAATATTGATAAGGAAAACTCGAAATTCTTTGGCCACTTCACTTTTGACTTTCTTTCTCACCAACTTTCAGCTCTGGAGGGAACTGTGAGCTCCATATACTAACACCCTGATCGGAACTCAGAGCATGACAATGGCAAACCCACACTCAGGGGGACAGGAACTGTCTGCTAACAGCCTGACTGGGAAGACACGGTGCCCAACTTTCTTAAGTTTAGAAGAACAAACCTAATGTCAATTTCAAAAATGTCAATTTCTAATTTTAATCATCTTAATGACCAATTAAAAATGAAACCCCTTTTTAAAAATTAAGGAATCCTAATGATGTTGAGGTAGATGATGGCGTTATCAGGTAATAATAGGTATGAGATAAAAATAACAAAATGGAGGGAAAGGACGCACTGACTTGAAATTGTCTTCTTTTAAATCCATGAGGAAGAACAGAACACTTTTTCCAGTTCAAGTTCTACGCAGGAAATCCGGATGTGCCATGTCATGGACTCGATCTTTAATTGGAGATGAACTAGGCAGCCAGTGGGAAGAATCCAGAACAGCAAACTGCGAAATGGCTGTCCCCATGAAGAAGCCGGTCACTTTGCCCTTGACTTGTCCAGCTGGGCTAATTCCCAAATGTTCGGGATTTGGATTCCTAAAGTCGCTTTTAGCATTTGACTAACTCTTTGTTGGAGGAAGGGGCTGGGACTGTTTCTCCACACATAAACTGCTCCTAAGAAAGCACAAAAAAGTGGGTTAAGCACTGAGTATGTCACAGATGCATCAATATTAACTTTCATCATGTCCCAGAATCAGTCCAGCTCTATGAGCTTTTCCATTCTATCTCATTTCATCCTTCTTCGTGAGTCAATGCCAACACCAGAATTATAAAGTCAAAACTGTATGTTTTAGCCATGCATTCATATTTAATATAAAGCATCTTATCTTATAAACACACATACCCATCTTCATTACAAAGCACCCACAACTCAGAAATGACATTCTTAAAGACACTGCCACATCTTTTAGGTTTCTGTATTAATTACTCCTTACACTACAATTTCCCCACTTCAGTATTTGGACTTGAATGTGTAAGTCCAAATACTTATACATTGTAAGTGTCCTCTTCAAAACTATTACTTCTTCCAACTAAAAGGGACAGCTTCTTATGTGTCTCCCAGCAGACATATCTTCAATGTTAGCTCCACTGTCAATGAAGTCCAATCTCTGGTTATCTGTCCTGGTTTACCAACTACCATGAGAACTCTCTGCCTCAGGGGGTACCCCTCATGCCCTGCAATCTGATCCCCGTGAGGGTCGGCCTGTGTTCTGTCCCTGCTGCTCTTCACTCCTGCCTGGCACCTAGAATCCTCCTGCCCGCTCTTTGGGGTTTATGGTCCACCAGCAGTACAATACTCCACATCCTCAACCTCTTCTTTAAACATCCTTGTGCCTTCTTGCTCTCATACCTTGAGTGATTCTCAAGGTGAAGGGGTACTGGGGGTGGGGAGTGGTATTGATTTTGTCTCCTGGGGATATTTTAGCAACGTCTGGAGACAATCTGGGTTGAGAAATTGGAGGTGCAGGATGCAAGTAGGTAGAGGCACAGAACAGCCCTGTCCAACAAAGAGTTAGTTATTCAGCCCCAGATGCCCACAATGCTGATGTTGAGAAGAGGCCACCCCCTAAAGACACTGTTCCCCATGTACCACCTCAAGCAAGGGCTCTGGGTTCCCGGAAAACCCCCGGTGCCGCTGAGACTGGAGGAGGAGCTGGCTGTTCCTTTCTGCCACTATTCTCCTTCCCTATCCAAAACCCACCAACTTTGATTCTTATGCCACGAGACCGTATCATCACTACTCTTCTCTGTTGCTATTGTCTACTGCCCTTGGGTTCCCATTTCAACCCTTCTGGAATCTCCAGTGTGGTCATCCTATCCCTTTTTCACTGCCCCTCATTCCCTTAATTTACCTAGTTTAAAGCCCATGGTCAAATACATAATCACTTTTCTCCCACTCCTTCCTATTCACATGGCAAAAACACAAGCCTAGTTAAATCTAACTTCCTATGTCTACATTCACCCATGCAGCTGAACCCTCTCTAGACCCTCTATCACCACCACCAATTACTGCCCCAAGTCTCCAATCCCCTTGGCAACAAACTCCTTGAAAGAAATGTCTACATTTGCTGCCTCCTATTCTTCTCTCATTCTCTCCAGCAAGTTTTCCACCAATCAGGCTCTGGCTCCGTTACTCCCCTGAAACTGCTCTCAGCACTGTCGCAAGTGGTCTGTCAAAGCCAACAGTTAATATCCAGTTATCTTTCTATCCATGGCATCCGACAGGTTGATCACTTCCTCTACCTTTTCTCATCTGGCTTCCAGGATATGACACTGGTGGTTTTCCTCCTTTCTCTGTGGTTGTGCCTTTTCACCCAGCTTTGCTGATTCTCGCTTCACTTCCTGACTGTTTAATGTTGCAGTAGCCCAAGGCTCACTCCTTCGTCCATCATTACTACATTCAAAGTGCTGGTGGTCCAATCTCATGGCTCTAAATGCTCGTTATATGCTGATAACTCTCAAATTTACAGCACCAAGTGACCACTCTCTGAACTCCAGACTTGCACATATCGACTGCCTTCTCACCATGTAACCCCTCAAGCAATGGTTCTATGTTCTCTTGTACCCCCAGGGCCTTCTCTCCAGCTCCATTTAACGAAAAAGAAAATAGACCTCTCACAAATAGTATGTCCACCTCCTGCCCCTATCACTGCAGCCACTTTCCCCTCAGTTCATGGTAAATCCATCTTTCCAGTTATGAAGGCCAAAAATGTTGAAATCATCCTTGACTCCTCTCATATACCCAATCCTTATCCTTTAAAGTGTACCCAGAATCCAACCACTCCCATTGCTGCAGTTTGGTCCAAGCTACCCATCCCTCCTTTGATTAATCTAACAGCCTGGTTTTCCTGCCTCCACATTTGCCCCTTCGTAGTCTACTTGAACACAAGAGCCAGACTCCCTCTTTTAAAACTTGAGTTGATCCTGGCTGGTGTGGCTCAGTGGAATGAGTGCCAGTCTGCAATCGCCAGTTCGATTCCTAGTCAGAGCACATGCCTGGGATGCAGGCCAGGTCCCAGTGTGAGGCGTGTAAGAGACAACCTATCGATGTATCTTTTGCATTCATGTTTCTCTCTCTCTCTCCTCTAAAAATAAAATCTTTAAAATAAAAAAAACAAAACTTGAGTTGGATTATGGCACAACTTGGTTACAGCATACTCCACTGGTTCCCTGTATCAATGGCATAGGCGAAGCCAAGGTCCTTAGACTGGCTCACAAACTCCTCTGTGATCGGTCACATTACACCAGTTCTTCCTGAATGATTCTCACCCTCATTTACTCTGCTCTGGCCACACTGGCCTCCTTGCTGTTCCTCCATACAACCAAGCATGTCTCTGTGGTAGGGCTCCTTCACCGGAAGCTCCCTTTGCCAGATTGCTCATCCCTAATATGTACTGGGCTCACTCCCTCACCTCCTTCAATCCTTGCTCAGTAAGGCCACAAGTCCCCTGTTTAAAACAACAACCTCTTCCCACACCTGCACTCCTGATCTATCTTACCCTGTTTTTTCTCATAGAACCCATTTTAATACAAGAAAAATCAGCAAACTTCTAAATTACAGCCTGCTTCTCTGTGAAGCTAAGTGCCTTGTTCCCACCTTCCCTATAATCATGTCAGAGGTCACCCCCAAGAATGTCAAGTTGTTTTATGTCAACGATATCTCAAAAGAAAAAAAAAAAAAAGAATGTTAGGCTTCTTACTTAAACCTTTATTCAAAGTACTGACCAAAAGTTGGGATGGGTAGTAATAATATTTATTTTGTTTTGTAGTCTCAATATCCTTGGAGGAAAAATGACAGTACAACTACAGACTAAAAAAATTATAAAACTGCAACTAGGATTATATCTCAATATAATATACTGCAGAGTTCTGTGTATAAGCCAGACAAGAAATACTATACAATTGTTCCCTTCAAAATAAATCTGGGCAATCTGAATTTTAATTACTTACGAAATAAAGGAGAATTAAAGAATGTCAAGTAGCCTTTACAATTATTTCTTTTTTTTTTACAATTATTTCTTTTACTTAATAAGTAATTAATAATTTTCACTAGATAAGAGCAGTTTTCTTTGTTGCCCTGTCTACAGCTAAACTCTGTTAATTCGAGCTTAAATTTTTTTAAATTTACAATATGGCTGTTTATTAAGGGTTTCTAAAATTTGTATTAAAAAACAAAGCATTTACTTAACACTTAGAAAACATTCTCCTGCACTTACACATCATAGACAGTGCTGCAGGTTTTTGTATAACCCTCCCCCCATTGTTTAAAATTTGACCTCTTACTTTGTCATAAATCACTTTTATAATGAGAGAGCAGCTAGGACACGTCGCCACGTCTTCCCCATTCTCCAAATCTTCCTATAACAGAATCAGACACGGAATGATCAGCATCGCCTTCCCTCTGCAAACTCCTGCTCCCACACCTCCCCCGCAATGGGCAGCTAAACTCCTTCGTGGCTTGCCTCCCCTCAAGGTATATGAAGGCCAAAGTGACCTTCAGAGAGAAATGCCGACCCCAATTTCTCCTGGGAACAGCACTTGGGAGGAATACCCCAGAAGGCTGGTCAAGGTTCAGTCGCGTAGAAACCTCTGGGAAGACAAAAATGCCTCCCTTGCTCCAAAGAAGTATCCCTGGAAGGTGGACCCGAAGTGAGAGAAGATGGCGAGAAGTCTGTGAGACTCCCCGCCATCCACCCCCTCCCTGGCCCCGGCCCTGGCCCCATCCACGAGGCCTGACTGAAGACCAGAACGGAATGACCACTGACAGCTGAGGGTATCAGCTTCCGGGAGATTCATAAACTGGATAAAAAGGACACGTGGATCACACGAGCCGCGTGGGCCAAGGAACGGCGGAAGGAACACCTAAGCGCGACAACGCGCTTGCTCCGATGAGCAGCCGGGCGGAACCCTGAAGTTACCTTGGTGATACAGAAGTTATCGCCACAAGGGCAGGGGTAGAAATACGTCTCCAGGTCCTCGTCATATTGGAAGTCCTCGATTTCCACCTCATCGTGAAACACCGCCATGGTACAGGGACCAGATGAGGATCCCCACCAGCCGAAACCACCGGCCCAGGTCGGCCTAACTTGGCGGGGGTTTGCACCAGCCAGGAGTTGTCACGAAGAACCGGCGCACGAATTATCGCTTCCGGCGCATGGAAAATGACGCATATGAGGGCTTGGATGCCAAATGGGTGACCGGGTCGCGGTCACCATGGAGATGGCTGAGCTAGGGTGTGGGGAGACAATGGAAGAGTGTGCTTGCACCCGGGTGGTGTCGGTTACAGTTCCGCCTATTGGCTGAAGTGACCAATAGAATGTGAGGATCGCTCACGAAGCTGTACATCACATCGGGGACACCGGAAGCTTTCAGGAACTTGCGGCGGAATTTGGTGCTGTTCTGTAAGCTAGGTACTCGCGGTGCTGGCGGCGCGGCGGCACTTTAGTGAGGCTGTAGTTGCTTGGCCTCATGGCCGTGGAGGTTCGATAGGCCATAACCAGACCCTGCTGAAGGCCGCAGCAGGTCTAAATAGCACAGTTGGGGCCCTCGGCGCCCGTAGGGGCAGGGCTGCAGCTTTGCTTGGTCTTCGGCGGCGGGAGCAGCTCAACCTTCTCAATCCGTGTCCCTTCCCGGCGATCGACGAAAAGCTTCCTTGGAATTTCGACTCACCCGGTGACCTTGAGCTCAGGGCGACGCCTTGCTTGTAGTTCCTGACTGCACTGGCTGTTCAGGTATATCCCCGCCTCTTCATCACCTCCAGATTATCTTCAAATGCCCTAAACTGTGTTGCTGAAAAGACCAAGCAAGACCTGGGAGGCAGATGGAATTCTAGTCCTATGTTTGCCAAGCATATGACATTATTACAGAGATTTGTAATAACAGTAATACGATCACTTTTTATTACCAGGAGTTTGCTTTGTGCCCGGTATTGTGCCAAGTGTAATTCTTCCACCAGCCTTGGGAGTTTAGAGACTAATAATAATTCCATATTATTAATCTTCAAACTGAGATCAGAGTTGAGTATCTAGACCTAGGAAATGAAGCGCCTGTCTGTCTCCAAAGCCTGGCAGCACATCACTTAATTTATGTAAACTACAATTTCTTTTTTGTAAAAGGCATGGCATTAGCGGGCAGAGTTATTACTATGAGGCTTCTTTATACCTTGAAAATAAATAAAATAAAATGCAAATAAAAGGTGCTTTGTCTTGGAAGCAGTATCAGTGCCTGTTTTGGTACAGCCCGGTCCTCCGGGGGTAGTGTTTCATTACTACGCATTCATTCAAATCTTGGTAGAGCAGCAGAGCAGGGAAAAAAGTGTTATTGAGAAGCAAATCTGGGGCCAGAATCTGACTGTTGGAGTACCGGGGACTGGGTATTTATATTCTTTGGGCCTCATTTCTTCTTCTGACTAAAAAAAGGGTTGTATTAGAGATGATTTACAAGATCACTTTCAGATCTAATATTCTACTTCTGTGGGAATTATGAGTTTTACTTGGTTCAGCAATGATATGTACCACACTTAGTTTATATTCACATAATACATACACATAATGCTCATATGTACACATCCTTCTGCAGACTGCTGAGATGCCCACCAGAGCTTCCCTGGAGACCTGGGTTTGGGTGTCCTTTGGCTTTCCAGTTTCCATCCCGCCATCTGTTGGCCATAACCTTTGCCTGGCCAGAGGTGGCACCCTGTGTGGTTCTCCCCAGTTTTGAGTTCCTACTGTGCTGAAGAAAAAAACAGAGCCAAACATGTGATGCAGTTTTTTTACCCCCCCCCATTTTTAAATAACACATTACAATGACTATTAAACTTGATTCTTAAAAAGCAATGGAAAGATTCCATAATGAGACATTTTTGGACCCCAAAAGCATAATAAAAGCAGATTTACTAGTTGCTGTAGGGTCATTTGAGATCACAAATTTATTTAATCATAAAAAGTTAACATAGTAACCTGGAAAATAACAGTGACCAAAATCCTTAACATAGGATTGAACTTAGAAAGAAGTCTCAACTATATAATAGAAGCTGTGTTTTGTGAGTGCTGTTGTATATCGGGCTAAGGGGAATTATTTATTAGCAGTATCAAACTGCCTCTCAAGATTGTTTGACAGGAGGCCAGGGGGTTAATGCACTTGGGTTGGTTTTTTGTAACACTTGCCTGCCAGGTACTTCTATCGACATTTATTTCTCTCAGCAGTCCAGTGAAGTGGTGTTGGCATCCCATTGAAAAATGATACGAGGTGACCGGCCCAGGATCAAAAAGCAGGAAGGAGTCAGATCTGAGTCCAGTTCCATGGATTCCAAGTCAAGCACTCTTGAAATAACTTGTATGCCACCAGGGTTCCCTTAACCAAATGCCAAATGCCAGGAGCCCCTTTGCTTCTTCAGTGGCACCTCAGATTTTAAAACAGTGGGTGCCATGATAGTTCTGTGAATTTGATTATCTTGGAGGCATCCTTGGTTTTTCTCTTGCATACTTCATCCAATCTATCAACAAGTCTTATGGCTTTAATTCCGAAATATGTGCCATGTTCATCTACTTCTATCATGTCAGTAGCTTAATCCTATTCCAGTCTTAGACTAGAGCCTTCTAATTGGATGTCCTGCTTCGACTCTTGCCCCTCATGATTAGTTCTTTGTGTCGCGCCCTGAGCGATCCCTTAGTGTAAATTCCATTATGTCCCTTTCCTGGTTTATTCAAACCCTTCAGTTGCTTCCCATCGCCCTTAGAATGAAGGCCATCCCCTTACTGTGGCCTGATCTGGCCCATCTACCCGCTCAGCCTCATCTGGTATCACTCACCTCGCTCACTGCTCTCCAGTCGCACTGGCTGTGGTTCCCGCACACACATTGCACAGTCACACGGTGTGACTGTGACTGGGCCTGTGCCCAAGTGCTCTGCTCTGAACGTCTGCTTGGCTGACTCTTCCTCTGCATCATTCAGGTTTCGGCCCTTGTCTCTTGAGAGAGACCTTTCCTGATACTCCCCTACCCACCCTACTCTTACCTGTCACACACACTATAATGAAAGCTTCACGATGGCAAGGACCTTGAGTCTGCTTCTTTATTGTGTCTCTGCGGCCTACAGTAGTGCCTGGCACCCCAGTTACTGTTTAATTAATTAAGCGTACTTACTGAACAGAAACCAGTTTAGGTCATTTTAAGTCTTAAATCCACTGTTTGCAGTGATTTTTTTTTTTTACTGCTTAAATAGATGTGTTTTCTTTAGCACTTATGATCATTTTTCTCTTTCAGAAATAGTTAAGATTTTCGGGGTGAGGTAAGGTCTATGAGGATATAAACATTTATGGAATATTTTTGTTTGTATTATTTTAGAAATTACTTAATATATGTTAATATTATATAGTTCATTAAATACTTACATTGAATATGTGAAGCCAGTGGACATATTTCAAGAGGTATGTTTTTAAAAAAAATACTTTGATTTTTTAAAAAAAATACAGATTTGGTAATCCTTTTGAACACCACTTGATAAAAATACCCTTTATTTACCAGTAGGTGGCACTCTTGGTCATGGTTGTCACAAAACAAGATTTTCAAATTTAAGAGAACAGCTTTAAAAAATTAACATTTCTTTGTTTTCCAGTTCTTATGAGCAGTAGACCATTCAGACAGCATAATCACTGAAAGGAGTGTCTTCTGTGAGGACTATTTTAGTAAAAGTTGTCTAAAACATTGGGCAGAACAGTGTTTTCATGTTAAACTATATATTAGTTAAATTTTATTAGGGAACTTCAGCTTAACTGGCATTAACTAAATCCTTCCAGCCATTGGTCTTGTCTTTCATAGGGTGGAACCAGAAAAATGGGGGGGGGGGGCGAAATCCAGAAAAAAGAAAAGTAGAAAGATGAGAAGAAGAATTGACGAAAAGGGAAATTGAGAGTAGTTTTGCTGTGAGGTAATGCCTGCTGATTATAGTCAGCCTTTTCTTTTGCAGCTAGGAGATAGTAGTGCTTTCGAAGTTTTCCAAAGCGTTGTTCTTACACGTTGTCTCTGCCATTGCAGGAACTTTGTGAGAACTTCAATATACAGAAACTGTCCGGGTTCCAACCGGCGTGTATTGGAAGGTCTCAGTATAATACCAGGACCAAAGCATTGCGTATCAGTCAGCCAACGAGCCATACACTTAACTACTTCTAAAAATCTCATGGACTTCTAAAGTAAGTTTCTTTCTTTCAATGATTAACGTACCATTTTTGGTTTAGCATATTTAAATGAGAGAAACTACATTTAGTAGTCTTGTATGAGGTAAAGAGGCACTGTCCTTTTTCATTTATTCAAGAGAAAAATAGGGAGGAGCATTATTCATCTACATTGATGCTATATCATGCTATGGCAAGAAATTGGGCTTTTACTTTAACTAAAGATTAGTTACGAAGCAGTGGCTTTTTGATATGAATTGATTATAACTGAATAAATTACGTATGACTTATATCACCACCTGACTTACTTATTTATTTTATTTTCTGTCTCTACCTTCTAAAACATAAGCTCCCCAAGAAGGTCTGTTTTGCTCGTGTCTAAACTACCAGTGCCTACCACATAATGGACTTGTAATAAATATTTGTCAGAGGAAGGGCTAAATTAATGAATGTGGACTAGGAACATAAGCACATGTAGCTTGAATATTTCCCTAACACTAAATTATTACAATTAATTTATATAGTGCCTTCCAAAGACTTAGGAAAAAAGTGTTCTCATACATCTTCATTTATTCTCGAGCTGACCGAGAGGAAAGGACGGGTCTGCAACATAACATCTGAAAGTCGCCATCTGAGGCAAAGAAATATTAAAAAATATGCCGGGGAAAACAGAATGGTAGGAACCAGAAAACCTGAAAAAAGAAAACGCATTGTCTGACTCCTACTCGGCGGTTTTGCTGATAGGCCAGTCATTTTTAGACTTCAGAATGGAGCCTTTCTGGGTTTTTGTTTTTTAAACTTTTTACTTAAGTATAATTTACAAGCATAAGTACATACATCCTAAGAGGACAGCTTGATTAGCTTTCTTATTAAGATGGTGGATTTCCCACGTACCCCCGGCCCCCACGCGTGCATTGCCTCCCCATCATCAGCATCTGTCACTAGAGCTGTGCAG